TAAAATATCAAAAGTGGCGCTTATATAAAATAAAATATAATGTGCACATTGCAAGATGATCAATAAAAGTTTTTTTAATGTTTCTTTTATGATTTCTTTTTTTAAGCATCTAACTAATAACTTTACTTTATCTTTTGCTAAACATTTTCGATGGCAAAGTTAAAATAATAAAAATAAAATTTGTTGACTTATTACATTAGTAAATAGCGCGAATATCAAATGTAATTTCTATGCAAACATTCAAAGTTGCTGCCTTCATCAAAAAAATAGTTTTACTAAAGTTATTTATTAAAGGTACTTATAATATTATTTTTAAAACTATTTATTAAATTGATATTACAAAAAAAAAACATAAAACCAAATTACCATTTAAATTGCTTTAATTTAAAAAAACTTTTATTTGTATCTTTTTTTTAAAAATCTTTAAATCTAAAAATTCGATCATTTTCAAGTTGGAATGAAACTTTATGCAGTTAAAACTCATTATAATATTGAAATACAATTTATTTGTTACGCAAACGGATGAAAAAAGTTCAAGTTTTTAATTTTTTGTCGCTTTAATTTTAATTAAAAAATAAATAATAATAAAACAGTAAAAGCAGTCATTTAAGAAGTAGTTATTTGCTGTTTTTGATTTTTCTTAAAAAACAGCTATTTTACTGTTACTGTTAAACAATGTTTAAAAACCTTACTTCCAAACATCATTTGTAATAAAAAAAACACAACTATAACAGCCATGAAATCCAGGTCAGCATTTGGCAATGTTAACACAAAAGCCGAACTTGTTTAGAATTTTCTTTACAATGAAAATTCTAAACAAGTTTTTATCTTCCGAAGAGAAAAGTTATTGAAAAATGGGGTTGAAATCCTGTGGCTTTCAAACAAATGATTTAAGAGAATCTTCCTTTAACTTGGTGTAAAACTTGCAAAAAGGAATTCAAAGCTTTTGAAAAGATGTTACAATTAAAATAAAGGCTATGCTAAAAAAATGGTTGTATGCGGAGCATCAACCATAAGAACAAATAACTTTACATTATATTTTATGTTTTCATATGCATATGGAATCTTAAGATGGAGTGAAGCTACTAAAAAACTCCTGATACTATCAATTCCAACAAAGAAAGTGCTGCTGATTCCTTCTTTGTTTATATAAATTAAATTCTTAATTCCAATGAGTTAGATTAACTGGGAGTTACCTGTATCTAATAATTTTTTTTAAACAATTTGCAGTTAACAAGATTTTCACCTACTGTCCATAAACTAAATTTGTGTTTTTATATTACTCTTTTATATGATCAATCTAAAAAACCAATGAAAATTTAATAAATAAGTGATGAAAAATCATCAATTCAATTTTAATTAGCTGTATAATTTACATAATACTTGCATAAAATTTAATGGCTTTGTTCTTTTAAGTAGTAACCAATTAGTCATTGACCTTTTTGTTACAGGATGCAAGCCTTTCCAGAAAGCGCGTGTGGTCGCATGCCTTTATTAATCCACATTTGAAGTTATTTTTTTTAGAAACACTGACCACAGCAGTTCTTATCTTTTAACTTTTAAAGTGTTTCAATAATTCATGGCTAAATGCTAAACTTATCTACTGACTTAAAAAAAAAACAATCTTAAAAAAAGGAAACACAATTGTAACAAAATATCAAGTTTTAATTAAATAAACTAGAAAATTTAATAATTAAAAAAAAAAAATTTTTTGTAAAATTTTTATACAACTTTTGTATTCTTTTTTTTAGAGTGGTTGTTGTTGTTTTTTAGAGTGGTTGTTGTTGTTTTTTTAGAGTGGTTATTGTTTTTAGCTACCGAATTTGTTACAAGTTCATGAAAAAAAAACATTGTTTATAAAAATTTAACAGTAATTGATATGATATGTAATTTATTCATAATTCTTATCAGTCTGCAAACTAATTAGCTATGTGCGCTAGAACTATTAGAAATTTTAATTTATTTTCTTATGTTTATTTGTTTTGATGTCTTTTTTCTCAATACTTATGTTATAGGAAAATAAGAAAGTAAATTTCTATTTATTTGTAAAATATATTATTTGATATATATAATTAATGTTGTAAAGATGGCATAAATTAAATAAAATAATAACATGGTTTTTTTTACAAATGTATATACTGCATTTGATACATGTCTGAAATTGTTTCCTTATATTGCTATATATTCCTTTATATTGCCTAATTTCCAACATTAATAAGAATTACTAGATATAATGAACATAACGATTGCTATGTTTAAAAAATGTATTTAAAAACTTTTTAATAGGCTCAGAAAAATTTTGTTAAAACGGTTCAGTAAATTAACAATTCACTAGCCCACAAGCTATTGGAGCATTGTCAATAACATTTCATCAGGAAATAAACTATCAAGTGCACTATTTGGATAATCCAACATAAGTGCAGACTATTTCAATGAGGGTAGTGAAAACAACCAAATATTTTATATTTAAATATAAGTATTAATGACTTCATTTTTTTACATAAAAAACTTGTTTAAATAAAAATGTTTTTTTTGCAATTAAATAGCTATTAATTTTCTCGCTTTCCTGTGCATTGATAAAAACAGTAAAGTTTAGCAAAAATATTTGAAAAACAAATTTAAAAGTTGAGATGTTTCTTGCGCAAATAATAAAGTATTTCCTTCATAAACTGACTAAAAAAGTCATAAAAAAGTTGTATATCAAAAAATGTTTTTATTTTCGTTATATTCTTATCTGCTTTTTCCTCAACTTGTATAAATTTTGGTATTGGAAACAAACGCCCTAAAAATAGGGGGGGGGGGCGTCCAAAATTCCATATTTCTTGTTTAACCAGTTATTCTTAATTAATTTTTCGAGAAAAGTTTAAAAAACAGTTTTTGCTAATTTTTTATGGTTGACCTTCTACTTCTATTTTAAAAATTTAAAAGATATAAAAAATAAAAGTCTTTGCAAAAGTTTCTTTGCATATAAAGTTATGCAACTTTTCTTTTAAATTTATGCTATTCAAATTTTGATTGGATAATTTTGATTTTTAATCGTTATGTTTTAGAAAAAAAAGCTTAATCTGAAGTCTTTTTCTAAAAAAACGTTTTAAATAAGTAAAACGACAGATTGCTTCAAAAAAAAAGTTTTATCTGAAGTCTCTTTCTAAACAAAACGTTTTAAGTAATCAAAAAGGCAGATTGCTTCAAAATGCGGTAGTGGTGTAGTGGTAGAGCGCTCGCTTCATAAACGAGTGGTTCCGAGTTCGATCCCCACCACGTCCCTGGTAGTACTGCGCTCAACTCGTTTCTCCGCGCAGCGGCCTTGTTCATCAAGGTTCGTGTTTCGGAGTTATAGAGTTGAGAGAGGGTTATAGCCACAAATAAGTAGCCTCCTCGTCTGTAGTGGCCTTCTCGGCCTTGAGGAGGTGAATTAAAATAAAAAAATTAAAAAAAAAAAAAAAAACTATCTAAATTTCCTTTTTTTTTATTTATTTTTAATCGTTATTCAAGCTATCAAAAAGGCTATTCAAGATTTCATTTTTTTTTTCACTTTTCTTTAAAGAAGTCAAGAATAAATCTTCTTTTAAAGTGCCAGTCAGTAGAAGTTCAGTTAAATTCTAAAGTTTTAACAATTCTAAAGATAATCAGTTAGTATAAAGGAACACCGCTACCTAAAAGGCTTTATAAAAAACAAACTGGATGATCAAATTTTGAAATTTTCTGCTTTACTTTAAAACACAGTTAAGCTAAGTATAGCTAGTTAAAAAAGTTCTAGAAGCAGTTAATAAGTATATCTCAAAGAGGTTGAATGATTGTATCATTCTTGCTAGATTATTTTGGCAAAAGTTAGCCTCAGGACTTCAAAAAAGAGAAAAATATTATGTGTTTGGTTGATGATGGAATATGATTAGTATTAACTTTCTAATTAAGTTATTGCAGTTGGAAAGCTTTGGAAAAAACCCATTTAATTTCAACAGTAGATGTATACTTAACTATATAAACCATATAAAAAATGAAGGTTCGCGCTGTTTAAAAATATTTTGGAGAATTATTGTCCAGTTATTTGCCCAGAAAGTTGAAACTATGGATAACAATGGAAGAGCAGCAAACTTTACATCAGGTGTGCAAGATGAGTTCTGTTAGCTTAATTAAATTTACAAGGCAGCCCATTTAGCTGTGAACAAGACATTATTGAAGTAGATAAAGATATGTTAAAATGAAAAAAAAGTTTGAAAAATGAGGTTCTTTATTTTAGGGATACAATGTAGGTCATTGTTGCGGAGGTCTATTCTGTTTAAATGCATGATTATTGATATAAAAATACAAACCTCCATCTTATGTCTACCAAAGAACACGCTCATAACCTAGATGTTCTATAAGAAAAGTTCACCAGCAATCTCTATCACATATGATGACTTTTATAGTCATTTTCCATTTTCAATAGTAAATAATAAACTGTATGAATTATTTTCATATAATGCTTAATTTTTTTTGTTACTTATAAATGATAAGGTATACTATTGATAAATTAAACAGAAAAGATTTCTAGTTTTCTACTTTTCTTATATTTAATGATAATAAATAAATTTCATCTATTTTTAACAATGCCTTTTTTTGTCAAAATATTCACTTTTATTAAAATCGAAGTAGAAGGCTAAATAATTAAAATGAAAAAAAATGATTATGATTTTCAGAATCAGCATGAAAAACAAATTAAGAAAAATTGGTTAAACAATAAAAAATCTAAAAAAAAGATGATTATGGACCCCCCTCCCCTACTAAAAATAAGAAAACAAAAGCAGTAAAATAGTGAGATATATTATTTTTTTACTTTTTTTTTTTTTCAATATTCAATTTTTTTTAGCTTATTTTATTTAGATTTTCTATTTCGTATAGTCTTTGTTTGCTTTCTTCGAGTATTGCAAAATTTTGCCAACCTGATGTCTGCTAAGTCTGCTAAGTACTCCATAAATATATTATAAAATTATAGTAAATAGAAATATTTAATTTTTCAGATTGTTTCTGAAGAAGAAATGAAAGTCAGAAAAGAACTTCTTGAGAAGGTAAAATAACTTAAATATGTTGAATCATTTTATTATTTTAATTTTTATTATTATATTTATATATATGTATATATATGTGTATATATATGTGTGTATATATATATATATATATATATATATAATATATATATATATATATATATATATACACACATATATATACACATATATATACATATATATAAATATAATAATAAAAATATATATATATAATATATATATATATATATATATATATATATATATATATATATATATATATATATATATATATATATATATATATATATATATATATATATATATATATATTTATAAACAAATAAAATACAATTTTTTATGGTATTAATAGTTTTAATTATGGCAATCATCAGCCATGTAATACAAATCAAGAAACAAAAAAACTGTTAAACGATAAAGTTAGAGTTGAGTGTGCTCTGTCGTCATAACAACAAAAAGACAAAAAGAAAAATCTAAAAACAGCTGCCTAATCAACTGTATCAAATTTTTAAAAGAAGAAATTTGCTTTTATGTCTACATTTAGATACTAATTCATTTATCTTATTTAATAAGTTATCATTAGTGTAAGATCTTATGACATACTTTTCATATAGACATAGGTTGCATCGTTTTATTGTGGGATTGAGATCCATCGTTTTATTGTGGGATTGAGATCATTGATCGTTGATTGGCCGTTATTTTGAGCCCTGATATATATATGTATATATATATATATATATATATATATATATATATATATATATATATATATATATATATATATATATATATATATATATATATATATATATATATATATATATATAAACTAACTATTTGAAATATACTAACCATTTTATTCGTCGAGTTACTTATTTTAAAATATAAGTTATTGGGTTAATCCAATCAGCTCACTGCTCACTAGATATCAGCAGTATGTCAGCAACCTTGAAACATTACTGAAAGTTTTTTAACTAAATATCTGTGAAATACTATGTTTTATGCTTTGTTGTGAAAATAACCAATTATGATACAGAAAATAAAAATATACGAATAAAATCTATAATTTATAATAAACTTTCAAAATTTTGACAGTTTAAATATTATAAAAATTTATAATAAACTTTCAAAATTTTGACAGTTTAAAAATAATTTCAACAGAAACAATATTTAAGTAAAAATATTGAAAGAAATATTGAAAGAAATATTTTTTGCTCAAAAAATGAATCCTGGCTCACAATTAACTAAAATCTTTCAATTAAAAATTTCAATAAAGTATTATTTTTATTGCATATAATAATTTTAAAAATGTAATATAAAAATACAACAATGTATTATGTAATGTTTATATATTTACAGATATTTTTATTAAATTTTTATTAAATTTTTGTTTAAATAAGGAATTTTTTATTTGTAAGTTGGAGAACACAACAAGGATCATATGAATATATAAATATTCATATACATGATATACAATATACTTCTTCATTTGCTCTGATTGAAATAAAGTAGAAAGTTCTGATTATTTTTAAGTGAGATAAAAGTCTTCCAAAGTTTTATATTTAGTATAAAATTTCTAAATAATCAATGTTATATTTGTTTAGAAACAGCCTCACAAATCCTTGCCTAGATATTTTCAATTAAAAACATTTAAAAAGCAGCCTTTTTCTTTATTAGGGGGATTTCTTGAGGAACACTTACATTTTTCATGTTTAATTCTTTTACGTGTCCATGTATGTTTGATGAAGGACTGTAGCTTGTTAGTGAAGAAACCATTTTGAGATTTTTTAACCATTTCGCAATTTGTAACCCATATGATATTTTATATTGGTGTATCAAGTCCTCCCTAGTTCTGCAATTTTCTAAAGTTGTTAAATTTAGTTTTCGTAGTCTATCTTCATATGGAAGGTTTTTGGGATTTGGAGTTTTTTAAACCTTTTCAAGTTTTTTAAACCTTTTCAAGTTCTACTATATCATTGATTAGAGTTGAGTTCCAAACTGGTACAGAATATTCGAGATAAGAACTCACCATTGTATAATAAAATGACTCAACTAGATTTGAATTTAAATAAGTAAAAGTACTTTTTATTAAACCCAGTGTCCTTTGCGGGGTTTTTTTGCGCTGATTTTACTTGCACATGCCGCTTTAGATCAGCTAATATTATTATACCTAAGGCTGTTTCTATTTTTGTTTCTTTAATTTTGTAATTTCCATCTGTTGTTAATTGTATACTTGTATAGTATATTTTTAGTACCAATGTGCATGATTTTACCTTTTTCTTCATTGAGTTTCATTCCCCAGATATTACACCAGTGTATTACTTTATTAATGTCAGTTTGAAGTTGATTTGCTGCTTTTAAAACAGTTTCATCATTATCAATAATTGAAGATAATTTGCTGTCATCAGCAAATAATTTGTATTCAGAAGTTAACAGGTAAGGTAAATCGTTCATGTATATAATAAAAAGAAGTGGACCTAGTACAGAGCCTTGTGGCACTCCACTAAATACTTCACACTAATTAGATATATTTTCACCCATAACTATCCTTTGTTTTCTATCGATATAGCATAATGAAATTTTTATCTAGATTCAAGCATGTTATTATAAAAAGCCACCTGAAGTTCCTGGCATTAAGTTATATAATGAAACCTTTGAGATGCTTATGAAGTACAATGATTGGTAATAATCTTGCTTTTTTATTTTTCAATTTTATGTTATTTATTTAAAATTAAATAAAGATTATCAAGAATTTTTAAGAAGCGATTGTTATATTGTTGCAGAAATTAATTTTTCAAAATGAAATATTTTAAAATTGTTTTTAATTATTTAAATTGTAATTCATTGTTAAAATTTTTGCACAATTCTAATTGCTAATACTTATAATATCTCAGTTGCAGTGCATTTCTTGTTAAGTAAGTAAAGCCAAGACTCTTGTTTAGTAAGCATTCTTTTTTTTGATTGTTTTTAGCAACTGAACTGTAAATAGTAACAGATATGATTTTGTCAAAGTCAAAGCTGGGTTTGTAACTAGTATTTTGAATTATTAAGGAAAAGACAAATAAATGCATTTTTTTTTTTCAATTTTAAAAATGGACGATCATTATTGTTGTTCTAAATTCTTGTTTTGAGTATTGAAGATGTGCAACTGAAATTTATCTACGATTTCTTCTTTAAAAGGTTTTGTTGTTTACATGATTCAGACTTAGTTGTTCATTACAACTCTCAAAAAGAGATTTTTTATTAATTTGAATACTGTTTTTGAAAAGATGAATTAAAGTTATTCAATTAGATTAGGTTAAATAAATTAAGGTTATTCAATAAGGTATGAATTAAGGTTTAATTCATATCTTATCAAATAACCTAAGAATTCAATTAATTTATTAAGATTTCAGGCAAAAATAAAAAAAAAACATTTGTGGGCATTAAAATTAAAACAACAGTTATTAAAAAATATCTTATTAATCTAACTCATTTTGTCAAGCATACACTCTTTTCATATTTTCTTGCATCTACCTCTTTTTTCTTCAAAAAAAAAACAATGTTTATACTTAATTATCTGTATCTTTATGCTGTATATGTACTACTTGCTTATCACAGGTTCTGATTTATCTAGCCTAGATGACTTAAGCGTGCCATCTTAATGGGGTGATAGCTTACACATCAAGGTAGCCTGTAATATAAATTTTTAACTTTGCCTGTATAAAAAAATATAGTTTAAATGTTTGAATAGAGTAAAATTTTGACTTCAGGTGCTAACAAAACAGCTGCAGAATCAGAATCATGCTTTAAAATTGGCCACACCAAACTGTGAACAAAAAAAAATTCAGATAGATAAATTTCAGTCCACTAGTTCAGGATTCATAATATTTTTTTGTTTAAACTTTTTTAAATAAATGTCATAATTCTTATACTAATAACTCAATATCTACCAACATTTAAAGTTGGTTATGGTTCAAATCGGTCATGCTGCTCAACAATCTTCTTTTGTATTCAATAATTTTTTTTTTGCTTGTACCTTGACTATGTTGCAGTTTTGATAGATTGTTCACTGTAAGGTCCCATAGAGAATTTTTTGTGATTGATAAAACCTTTGATGTAGTAGAAGGCGGTGTTAATTTTCAGTGTTGCACTTGCAGCAGTTACCACCTTTTAAAAGCTTCAATGGATTGGATTCACTCTTCAGCTGAAAAGTGAATCCTAAGCAAGTCTTAACATTTAAATTGAATGTTTTAATGATGCAAAAGATATTTTAGTGATGCAAAAGATGTTTCAATGATACAAAAGATGAAACCAAGTTTGTCAAAGTTGCTGGATTTATTGTTTATAAGCTTTCAGCATTCATTTTCCTTAAACTGGCCCCCCTGATAGGAACTCAGTTAAATGTGGAGGGCTACTGGCCATTGATCAGCTTCTATCTAAGCCGTATTAAGGATCTTGAAGAGACGACTGATAACTCTATAAGATGCAATTCCATTGCAGAGATTCCAAAATCAGAGTATTTTCAGGCCTGCTCATGATTAGCTTTTGAATGATATTGCCAAACAACTTTGCATTAGCAACCACTCTAGCAAATTTCTGAAAAGACTTGAGATGGATTGCATTTGATTGAGCCCAGTGTTCGCAGTTTCCTGGAGTGGACAAGAATCTTGGATTTGACATTATGTACCAGAGTGCATACTTGAGTAATTATGACGACCACAAGTTATATTTTCAAATTTCATGACACAAGCCAAAATCAGTTTAACTCTATTTGCATTGACCAGTGACTAGATTCATTCGTTGGGGCAAGTTTCTGGTAAACCTTCTGATGCTGCAACAATAATTTGTCTCTTGGCAAATTCTTGAGCTTCACAAAATAGCCATCTAAAGTTTTACAAGTTTGAATGACACGATTCACAAGACTTGATAACTCTTTGCATTGAACACTGTGCCAGGGATCAAAGGTTTTCTCTAAATTGTGTATATATACACATATATGTAAAAGCATGTCTGATGGCATACTTACTTTCTTTTGTTTATTTATGAATCATTCAAAATATACATTTATTGAATGTACCTTTAACTAGGTTAGGCGGAAAACTCTTGAGAAGTAACAACTTGTTTCACTCTTCAAGATAACTAATCTCTCTCAATTCAAATCAAGTTTATGCGAATTCTATACATATCTTGCACCTCCTCATAACTGTTAATCCACCAGTGTAGTGGCATCAATACATTGCACTTGTATTGGGTTCTCTTCAAGTTAAGCAGGTAAAAAATTGATGTTTTAGTGCATATTATTTATAGGTTGCTTCTGGAATTATGAACAAAAAAATGGCTTCAGAAAATTTGTTTGATTTACTTTTTATTTATCTACAAGGAAAAGTCACAAATGGCACACCTATGTCTTTCGTTGTCAAAAGAAGAATGATAGAAAAAAGTTCTTGATTAGCGGTGAACAACAGTCCCAATGTCTAGCTATTGTTGAAGCTATTCCTGAATCTAATTATAGTATAAGGCAAACTATAAAAAAGTAGTTTACAAAATTTTTTTTGTTTTTTTTGTTGCATTTGGCTTGAAATGAGAATCTGGTTCAGGGATAAAACAAACTCCTGGCAGTATTGATTGTAACTTCATTGCTGGCAGTATTGATTGTAACTTCATTGCTGGCAGTATTGATTGTAACTTCAGTAAATTTAATCAATAAGAGAAATAATCCATGAAATTTTTTGTATATTGAATTAGGCTTGTTTTCTGCTTGGAATTTTTTTTAAATATCTTTGGCTTAAGTTGAAAAATGTCATTTAACAAGTCTACCAAGATAGAGGCTGGATAAAAACAACAAAAACGATTCAAGAAAATAATTCGAGAAATTGGATTCTTTTGAAAATGGCTTAAAAGGAGCAATAACAAATCCGAAAAGTTCATTTCTTTCAGGACAAGAGTTTGCATTAGATTTATATAATAATATGTGAAAAGTTCACATTCTACTGTGTTTCTACAGCCATACGTGGAACACCATAACCAAAGATTAGGAAACTTTGCTAAACAATATGGAGAAAGTATTTGTGCAATATTTTAACATGAATGAAGTTTAAAAAATAAGAGCATCCAGATCTTACCTCTTTAAGCTCATGATTTGGTTCATGTCTAAATGTACCTGTATGTATGTATCTACGTATACGTATGCAAATATATATGTAGATTGATTATTATTGTATGTAAATACATTTAATGAACATAAATGTATACATGTAGATGTACTGCTATTGATATTTATAAGTGCATTTGTTAACGTTATCTATTTTTTTGTTGGAGTTTTTTTTTAAATAGTTTTTTTTTTGCTAACATTTATATTTTTTTAAATCCTAATTTCCCCCATTATGAATTTTTTTTTGTATTTTTCTTTTAATTTTATGTAACAAATAAAAGTAAAAATAATTTTTTTTTTTAACAGACTTTCAATTTCTTAAAGGAGTCTAGTCTTTTATCATCAAGTTCTAGATCTAAGACCTCCTCAGACGGTAGGCTCTCTTGTCAAACCCTTATTCCGACGCTGTCCTTAAGGTCCGAAAATGTAAAAAAACGACTTCATTTAAAAGAGAACCTACCCACCCCAAACCCTCAGTCGTTGTTTACACACTCCGCTGCATGTTCTCTCTAAAAATTAGTTGGTGTATGTGCGCACCGCTGCGCAAATGCCTATATACCCCGTTTTGCCCTTTTCCTAGAAACACGAGTTCGCGGACGCAAAGGACGCTCAACGTCGGAATAGGGGTTTGACAAGAGTGCGTTCCTCCTCAGACTTACTATTTTTATGTTTCTTAAAGCTTTATGGTTATTTAACAACTCGCGCGCAAAATATAACGCAATCTCAATAATTCGTTTGCTTTACTTCGAATTTAAATTTTTTTTTTTTGAACATAGGAGAGGTGTAGAGCAGCTGCTCGAACTTGCAGAACGTGAAGGAGTTCATCTTGAAGATGAAATGATGGACAAGGTTAGTTTATGAAAAGTAGTTTTAATATTAATAAAAGAATCATTAAAAGTAGTTTATGACATCATTGTCCTACGATTTATTTTTCTTAGTGTAGAGTACGTCAATAAAACAAAAGATTAAATTTTTTTTCTAGCTTGACGATTACTTGCTTAACGTGAAGGAGAAGAAACGCATATGGTAGTGTGCGTGAAACAACTGAATAAATAGAAGAAATAAGAAGTTGCTAAATGTGTGAATATTTTAAACAGTCATCCGTTTCAATATTATTGATAAATAATTTTTATTCTAATAAAAATTATTTATTGTGTATATGTGTACTATAATGAAAGATTCTTAAATAATTAATTGAACAAATGAAATAAAAACAAAAACAAAAGAATATTTCTAATAAAAATCCTTGTTTTGGCTTTAGTCTAAAATATTTGTTGAAATTTTTAGTGAATCTTGTTTTTTTTTGTTCTTAAGATTTTTTTTTATATAATTTTTTTTTTCAAGAATAAATATGCTAGTTATTTTAAGTTGGTTGAAAAAACAATCGGCACGTGATTTTTAAGTTGTGGGTCTTCCATAAAATACCTACGCAGGTATGGGGTAGAGAGAGTTACCCAAAAACGTATGAATGCGTAGAAGAGGAAAAGAGTATGAAAGACACACTATCTAAAAACTGGACGCGGTTGACTATTTCTCGTTCTCTGTCTCTCCTTAAACTTGGTTTCTTTTTTCCAACAAAAGCACTAAATTTCACGAGCCTAAAAAATCAATACTACGTTATAAAACAGCAAAATGTCGAGTTAACTAAAAAATTTATAGGAGCCCTCTTGTTTTACGTTTTTCTGTGAAAATAATAATTTTTTTTTAGATCGCGTAACTTAAGTTATGATAAAAAAAAGTTTTAAAACATAGACTAGTAGGTCATATCTAAATTTTAAAGACAATTTAATTCACACTTGACTAATAATATTTTAAATTGATCATTTATTACCTGTTTTTCTAATTTTATATCGCAATACGAGAGGCTGAAGCTAGATAACTACTATTACAGTTTTTGAGTTCTGGACTAGGTTATAATTTTTTGTCTTTTGTTTCCTGTATGAAAAATAAGTGAAATTTGGTTTGAAAGTAACTAAAAAATCATTGGTTTCAATTCATTGTGAAATAAGCCGCGTTATCTTTACATCTCCTATTCTTCTTTCTTTGTAATACTTTTTTTTTTAAATCTCAAAACGCAGGTTTGAAGAATTTGACTAACAAGTTCAAAACATCCTAGGCATTTTGTTGGGTCAAAACGATAGCTTTAGTTTTCGGGTAAAACGTCACCGCAAACATGAATAAGTTTTTTATAGTTAATGCGCTCTACAGAAGACTGCGTGTCAGACCCAATTTCTAGCCTGTAAGTCCAAGTCTATGCGGTACGAGCCGAGGCAAAGACATTTAAAGTATTGCTTAGAGATTTCTTTTGTCCAATAGTCAAAATTTAGAGAAGTTTAAAATCAAATGTTAGAAGATTTATTTCGCTAAAATCAGACTGGTAGCGTTTTTAAATTACTGCGCAAAAATTTCCAACCATTTTAACATCCTTTGCGGTAAAATAAAACGTTATAATATTGCTAAGGCAGTTATATTTTAACGTTATAACTTTACTTTCATCAAGTAAAGCAATTTTCCTTTATTGTGCGACGAAATCTTATCTAAGAATAAATTGAGTAGCCTAGTGATCCATGAAATTGTTTCTGTAGAGTTTTACTACAAACTAGTTAACTGACGTTCTTTTAAGTTGGGAAGAATATGAAACCTTGAGCAAATTATTTTTTTTATAACAAACAACACCTAAAACAACTGATATAAGAACATCATTTAGCTCAGTATAAACAAAAGTTTTTAGTGACAAAATAACATAATGATTATTTTCATTTTCTAAAAGAATATTATGAGTTGTTATTTGGTTAAATTTAATGGATTCTGGATATTTCAGTTATGCTAAATTTTGTCCAGCAAAGGACCACACTCAATGTAGTTAAGGAGAAATCTGAACGATTTGCATTTCTTAAAAACAGAAATTTGAATTTTTAAACTTCAACTCTTTGTGTTTACCGCTTATTTTCGACTATTACTATTATACATTTTTAAAAAGTAGAATTTAAGCTTTTCTTATACAATTTATTATTTTTTTATAAATCTTTTTTTCCCAAAGCATCAAGCAAAACTACACTACCACTAAAACACATAAAACGCAAAGGGGCAGCGCCATAAAAACAGCTGAAACAAATGTGTTAAGTATTTACATTTCAAAAATGTCTCTTTTATACAAAAGTAAAAATACTCTTTGTTTACAGCATTAAAATATTTAATAAATGACTAAAAACCTCTTGTTTCATCTTTCCGTAAACAGTAAATAACGTTAAAATTGAAGTTTTCACGTTAGTTTTCACTCATAGCAATTTACTTCCCTAATCTCTTTATAGCCGTTTAAATAAATTACTAAACAAAAACATTTTTTGAAAACGAAAGGGCCTAAACGCTATATTTTTCTTCTACGCTGCCTTGCCTTAACTCCGCTGAGCACAGCAATATCAATTCCAATAAGATTTGCAGTACCAAGAATCTCATAATCTGTGGCCCATATACAATCTGTGGCCATATCACTTTTGGTAATATATTTTCCACATCATTACCTAAATATCCTGATAAGAGACTGGAGGATTAACAACAACATCGCAATCACGTATATGTTGACACGCAGAACCTGTCAGCAAAAACAAAATTGTTCGAAAAAAAAATCAATATCCATCACCTCTGCAAACATGTATTTTTGAAGGTATATCAATTGCCATCACCTCTGCAAACATGTATTTTTGAAGGTATATCATTTTCTACTCTATCAACAGGGGCAGATTTTAATTGACTGTAACAAAAATGCCATAATATTTTTTTTGTTTAAAAAAAAAAAAAGCCCTTGATTTTTACAATTGACGACAGTCAATTGTGAAAATCGAAGACTTTTGAATAAAAGTCTTTTATGACTTTTATTCAAAATGACACGAATAAAAGTCTTTTATGACTTTTAATCATGACTAAATCCCTGACCCCGATTTGGTTTGCAAAAAAATTGGAGATAGATATTTGAAAACGAAAATTACAAATTTAATCTTAATTTGTTTAAAATTCAATTTTTTAAAATTAATTTAACTTTGTTTTAATGGCTTACTTTATAAAATATCTGAAAACTAAAATAGACACTAACGATTTATATAAATTTATAAAAACATATTTTTAATAATAAGCTTTATTACTTCATTACAATAAAATTTTTGTCAAACAATAATAAAAAGAATCAAATTTCAAATCAAATAAAAAAAAAGAACTAAATTAACTAAACTTTTTCAATAAAAATATATTGCTTTAAATAAATAATGAATGCTTTTAAAATCCTAAAACAGCAAACTTTAGGCATGTTACAATTAACAAACGATACAATTAGCCATTCTCACCAAATAATAAAAACAAAAGTGTCAATGAATAAATGTCAACCTAACAAAACAAGACAATATGGTCGTTCTTTTTTTAAAACAATATAGTTCTTTGTTTGATTTTAGTGTAGAAAATTTTTAGTGGTTTTTTATAGATAATTTAAGAAAGTATACTGTGATGATAACACTCAGTTTCTATTAAGTAATTCATTAAAGCATAAAAGTATTGATTAAGGAAGTCAAACAAACTTTATCTTTAATAAAATTGAAGAAAAGCCATTGAACAGTATTGTCAAAAAGACTTTTTAACCCACTAATTTCAAATGATTTTAGATATTGACCAAAGTTTAAAAAAATAAAACATTATACTGGTCAAAATTTCATATTCGTTAAGCAAACCATAATTTTGCAAAAATTCAGAACTATGAGGAAGTTTTTTGATCACTATTGAAGCTAAAATATATGCCCACACTTTTTAGATTAAAAGTTTTAATTTATGACATAATTTATGTGACAGCGAGCTTAATAAAATCACCAGTCTTGTTAAAGTTTGAGATTGCAGAAGTTTCAGGGTGATTGAGAAAAATTATCAATTAAATTAATTATCAACTAATCAGAAAAATTTTTTTTGCTTTCTGTGTCAATTATGTGGACAAAAGTCAAACAACAAAAGAGTTCCATCTGTATTTAACCAAGGTTTTTCATTAAATATTAGGGTTAGATTTTTATCACATATAGTTGCTTTTGCTTTGCTATTTGACTCTCTTACTGATTCTAAAGTTAAATGAATTTGATCACATAAAAATAAGGGCTAACTTATTTATTTCCATGTTTTCACAATATTTTCAAAAGAAATTTAGGACCATAGACAGATATATAATCTTTTTCGTCTATATAAACTTTTACAAAATTTATAACAATTTTTTACAAAATTGTTATAAATTGACTGGAGCAAGCAGAAGACAATGGTCTTATCATCTTGCCCCGTTAATTTCAATTTATTTTACAACAAATATCAATTAAACATAAGATAAACACAAGTTAAAAGATATTTAAATATATATAAATATAAAAACTCGTCTGATTAAAATAGGCAATTAAATGTATCTTTATAAATATAAATACAATTAAATGCATTTTTATAAATAAAACCATAAGCATTTCCAGCTATTGTGAAAATAAAATAAAAAAATTTCAAGACGTGTAAGAATTTTTTAAAAATAAGAGATTGTTTCAGTAATGTTGGGGTCAAGTAACTGTTGTTTAACAACGCAGTTAAAATGTTGAAAAGAGTTTATCGTTTTAATCTCATTTCTGAGAAATGAGTTCCACAATTGTGGTCTTCTTCTAGAAATTGAGAATTTGGATTGTCTCAAAGACATTTTTGGAACCTAGTAGTTCTGCTTAGAATATTTTGTTTCATATTTATGAATAATAAGTTGGAAGTAATTATGGAATCTTTTTGGGACCAATTTATTTTTTAATTTAAACATAAACTGAAGAATGCTATAGATGTTTTGTTCATAAATATTGAGAACTCTCAGTTCTTTCATTATTTGTTTAGCACTAGAATATCAATTAGTGAATATGCGGCATACTGGCTTTTGTTTTTTATAGGCTGAGGCTAAAAATAACTTCATATTACTATTAGATCCTAATACTAAAGTGTTCTAGGTGGCAAATATAAGTGTTTTATTTATGTTAATGGAGGTAAAAATGGTGCTGAAATAGCAACTCTTCCACCATTATTATTATGTAGAACTAATACAGATAGAGATAACAATTACTAATTTGAATCTTTCCGCAACCAATGAAAATCTTTTTTTTTGCATATGTTGTTTT